AGTTTGTACACAGTATAGATAGCACTTTTATTTTCCATATATGTACTAGGGTCAGTGAGGGTTTCAGTGTTTTACCCAAGCATCTTGCCCAACTGTAGCAATCTGGTTTTATTTTTGCCTTAGCTCATGTGTGTGTTTCTTTGTCATGTTGGCAAAATATCGTATATTTTAACGAATCTCTGACAAAAGTACTCTCTGGATGAATATACTTTTAGAGTTAATCCAGTTCAAGATGGTCACCACCGCAAATTGGCCTTTGAAAACACTAAGGCTGTGTCTCACTTCAGGGACTGCACCCCATGTGGGGCACATTTGTTGGCCACGTACATCATTGTGCCTACAAAACCTCAAAAATGTAGGCTGCATCTGAGTATCCTACGTGGCAGATGATATCCCAGGATTCATTCCTCTGTCAGTAAATGGAACAGAAACATGAAGATGGCTTAGTTTTTATTTATTTACTTACTTATTTACTTTTTAACAGCAGAGTTTGAAATTTCAGTTATAGATGTTCTTATATTTATTTACATGTAACATTTTTTAATAATACTGAATTTTGTGAAGTCGTAAAGGACGTGCATTTTCTAACTAAAGGCAGTGGATATAAAACATATGTTAACGAGACAGCGCATTGTCATGTAAACATCCGTCATCCATAGACGTCTCATTTCAGAGCCGTTTTATGCAGCTTATCCTATGGCCTACATAGTCTGTGGCTTTTGTGGGTCTAGGCCTATGTGGGTTGCAACCCCTGAATTGGGACACAGTTTAAAAAGACCAGAATCAGCCAGTTTTACTGGTATTAAACTGAAAATTAGAATGAAGAGTAGCAGAGAGTCATTTCCTACAAATCCTCTCAGCAGTACACATGCAACAAGGTCTTTGAAAAAGTCAGCCTTGTCTGTGTGTCAGCAAAACATCTTGTGAAACACAGATCAACTTTTAATGAGATTCTCAGAAGGCAATCAATCGATGTACATGCATACAATTAATTAACTTCTAAAGTAAACTCAGTTTAAAATGGTAAACTCAGCCTTGGAAAAAAACTGTTATGTGAATTTCAGCTTTAAGCAAAAATGTGGTGTGGTAGTCATCATTCCCAGCACCTAATCCACGCTATGTATTATTTTCAAGATTTGACCGCAAAGGCTAAAACTTTAGGTCTTTTAAAAAAAAAAGAAGATTTTAGATTAAAACTAAAGAAAAGTGGTTAAAGGCGATTAAAGGTGAAATTAAGTGGTTTAATAT